CAATTATAAAGATATTAAAATATATTGCCTCATTGGGAAGGACTGGCTTGTTGATAAACTTTCAAACTTCATTCCCATCGAATATTCAGGTTATACACTTGTAAAAAATGAAAAAACAAAAAAAGGAGGGTTCATAGCAATCGCTGAATTAATACATCCGGAAGATGTACCAGTATTGATATACTTTATTGAGTCTCCGTCAATACGAGTATTGCTACCTAAAAACTACATTACATGGAAAGAACAAATTACATCAAAGTTCACAGTTGCAAATGGTACCCTCGACAATGGAGAACCTCCCAACTTTTCCGATATTGTTGGGAGATTTTATGAAGAAGTAATAAAAACTATGGATACTGATGCCGAAAGATGTGGAATTTTTCCTTCATTTAAAACAGATCAAAAAGTTTGTAAATTGTATCCAGTAGATCTAAGGTTGACATTTATTCATCCCCGTTTTGAAATTAAAAGGAAACGAAAAATCTGTGAGTGGTTTAATGAAGATGAGTATAATATTCCATTTCTTTCAATATTCGAGAGGTTAAAAATACCTGACCTTTGTAATGCTTCTTCAACGACATTACATGAAAGGGAAGGTACTGCAAAGAGGACTATAAAATGTAAATTACAAGGCAAGAAAATTCCCATTGGTCTCTGTGTACCTTCGCTAATATTATACAAATTTGGTTATAAAAGGGCTGAAATATTGAAAGAGCCTATAACCTTAGGCGTAATGGCTTTAGGAACCAGTAATCAGAATATGGACGAAAAAACTTATGTCATGGGAGCCTTAAAGAAAAGATGGAGTTGTACTCGCAGGAGGAGTGGGCAAATAAATAGGTATCCACAGTATGTAAAGTGTTATGAGCCAGTTGGTCTCGTATATGAGTCTCAGATATTTGATAGATTCAGTCATAACCTAATTGATGGTTATATAATATCAAATAATGATGACCAATACTTATTCAGCCCATATGTCTGTCTTGGGTTACTGACTCGAAATATCAAAATCCTTCCTGTCATATATACTCATTTGCTATTCCCCAGAGGAAACGTTTTTGTAATTCAGAAGTCTGATGTAATCTGGTGTGTTCTCGGAAATTGCAAAGTGGCTCCTCCAAATACTATAGTTAATTGTATGAATGACCTCTAATTTTTTATAGGCTTTAGGGGACGTCGCACTTGGCCTACAACTTTCATGTTTGTTTAAGTTAATTTGTTTATATTTGAGTTAAAACGAATTAACTTAAATAAACTAACACAACAAGAAAATCACTCTGCCTTATTAGGCAAATGGGGTCTTTTTTGCATAGTGGCTGAGAAGTACGTTCTATGCCAGAGAACAAACGTCTCGGCCTACTGTGCAAGAAAGACCCCATTTACCTAATAAGGCTGAGTTCATTAGATTATTTTTAGTCTCCTCACCTGTGTTCTATACTCTGTCAGAATCAATCAAAATAACAGTTTGTGAACTGGTAATAAATAATAAGCCCAAATACAAAATATAATTCTTTACTGATGAGTATTTAAACCAAACCAACCATATATATATTGAAAAACGAGCGAAACGGCATTTTACTTTTTGGTGCTATGAGTTTTTACATAAATTTTCATTATGCCGGCATTTTTTGGTACATTTCTGATTATTTCTTTTGCAAATACATCTATGATTTAAACAAGATAAAAGTTTACAGTGGCATACTAATTGTTTCAAGTGCCTATTATCACTGAGAAAGTAATTTGATTGTCTACGAACAATCTCACGAAGCCCAAGTTGTTGATTCTTATTAATTTCGTTTGGCATTATTCTTTCGATTGTTTTATCAAAATCGTTTCTTGATAGATATTGGTTAATTGTTCCAAATTTTGTAGCTACACGATATAAATCTCTTTCATTGTCTATTTCGATGATAATTCCACTGATTGTTCGCATTCCTGTTTTGTTTTCCCTATCTTCTTTAGGTATTATCACATTAACAGTATCATATAGGCTAACAGGTGTTACATTTGCCGATGACAATTGTAACATTTTGAGGCATTAGTTATCTGACGCTCATAAACTTTGCTTCTAATAGTTCCTAAATTTTCAATATGTAAATTATATGAATCGTTATTTACTTCAGAATTATTATTATCATTAGGTTTACCATCTTCTAAATTACATAATCTTCTATTTATTATTACTTTAGGCGACAGCACAATACCAGGTGATGATGGTGTTGGTGGTGATAATATAGGGGGTAATGAAGGTGGCGGTATTTGTGGCAGGGATAATATGGAAGTAGAGGCAGTTGTAGCACCAGCAGCAACAGTAACAGTAACCTCCTCAACCTCATCAAAAATTATTTCTTCCATATCTGGCAACGGTGAAGAAATCTGACGCAGCAGCGGACTTGATGATGACAGGGAATACTGCAATTATATAAAAAAAAAAAATTTTAGTATACAGAAATTAATTGAGGACTCTTGTTTTCCAAGGTTGAACTGAAAACAAAACCAATAAATATTAAGGAATTTTACCTTTGCTTCTTTGCCTCTTTTTTCTTCATCCTCTTTGTCTTCTTCTTCTTCTTCTTCTTCTTCTTCTTTTTCTTCTTCTTCTTCTTCTTCCTCTTCTTCTTCATTGTCATCATAGTGACAGTTATTGAACAATTGGCTATATATTGAGGGCGAAAGACGAATCTTCATAACTATTGGAGGTTCTATACCAAAAACTGCCTTGTAAGGCGATATGCCAATTCCACGTGAATATGCTGTGTTTTTGGTGAATTGCACAAAGGGAAGTCCAGCTGACCAATCTCGCGTTTGATTCTCACACATCCAACTGCCAAGCATTTTGATTACATCCCCATTCGCACGTTCAATGCTCCCTTGGCTCTGTGGATGACGAGGTTTGCTATTAATGAGGAGCATGTTGGGCCACATTTCGTTTTTTAGCTCTTGAATCACCTCTGCCACAAATTCACGGCCGTTATCGCTCTGCAGAATTCGTGGGGCTCCCAAGAGAGCAAATATATCGAGTAAGTGGCGTGCCACTTCAATCGCCCGTTTACTGCGAAGAGCTCGTAAAACCGAAAACTTTGTTAAATGATCCTGATAATGTAAAATATATTTATACACACATCCTCCTTCTTTTTGCATATTTATTAAGTCCATTTGTCCTCGCTCCGCAAAACTGGTCGATACAATGGGCCGTATTACCCCCTTTTTTCGTCGAGGAAGTCGTTTCAAATTGCATATGTGGCAGAGTGAAATAAAGAGTTTCACCGATTGTTGAGTGACGTTAGCGATAGTTTTACTTGCTTCAAAATAAGTTCTTTTTTCTCCTCCGTGACAAACTGCTCTGTGTGCATCATAAATCGTATCATACAATTGCCCTTGATGTATGAAACGACGACACATCCGGCCAGGATCAGCTGTTGTTGTTCCTGTTGTTGTGGTTGTTGTTGTTGTTGTTACAGCCGTAGTAGAATGACGATTGTCACTGGTCAGTTTACGCTTGGTCCCCCGCTTCATTCTTCGTTCAGTTTCGTCGATGGTTACTAAGACGTCATCCCCAAATAGATTTTTGACATCATATCGAGACAATAGATCATATTCATGAGAGGTCTTTGTAGTCAGTTTCAATTTAGCATTTTTGACTTCCTCGATGTATTGGGCTAATTTTTCTCGAGTGAAAATTTTCCGGCTTCCATGCCCACCTTTTTCCAACATTTGGCTAATTTTTAATTCAAATTCCTTTTTTTGTATCACCTCTTCTTCTCTCTCACACCCTTCATTAACTTTTTGTCCCAAAGGTAAAGACGTGGATGATGAAGGTAATGGTTCTTCATCAACACTAGTATCGTTATTATCACTTCTTTCTTGTTGTTTCTGTCCACATGTTAATGGAGAGGAAATTGTAGGTGTGTCCTCCATGCTGGAGCAAAATCGACTGACTCTGATATTAACCCTCACACGCTGAATATTTTATATTGACCAATCACTGGCAGGCTTTCTTGGTTAAGCTGGCAGTTTACAGTTTGTGCTTATTTGACTAAATTATTCCTGTAAGACAACACAAACATTGTTGTTACATTCTAGGTCAATTATTTCAAGTTTCCGTTAAAATGTCAGTGTCATCAATATCTAGCAAAATTATTATAATACTTTGCCTAATGGGCAGAGTGCACTTATTGTATGTGGAAAAAAAAAAAAAAAAAAAAAAGGAACTAGACTAAAATTTAATTTATTGACTATCATCAATTCAATGTGTGTGTTGCGGGTTACAAACAAAAAATCAGTGTAGCATCATACCCTCCCTGAGAGAGTGAAATATCATCAGTTCAATGTGTGTTGCTGGTTACGAACCAAAAAAATTCAGTGTAGCATCATACCCTCCCTGAAAGGGTGGAGGGAGGTGTTAAACAATGATAGGGTTAATTACCAATGTTTGAATGTGGTTTGGGGAAGTTGGTTGACGGTTAGCCAATTTCCTTAACTCTCAAAACTTAGCTGATGTTCTTCTTTATGTTAACGACCACTTGTATATCTTCCTTAAGTATGTTAACTATAGCCTGAAGTGCATCCTGCTGCCATTTTAGGTATTGTGATATATCCTGCACTTTGTCAACAACCAGTCCATACCGTTGGGCTCGCGGAAAACTACCAGGCTTTATAGACTGAGCCATTAGTTCATTCAAACATCCCTTGAGGTCCTGCAGCTGCATATACAAGTTTTCTAATCGCAGTCGAATCTGATCCTCTATTTCTTCTAGTGGTAGATTTTTTTCCTTTCAACCTCTTGTGCTGACACCAATTTTAGAACTCGGCGCATTATATTTGTCTGTTTCAACTTAAAATTCTGAATGGTAACTTTAATTGTCGTCTGCATACAACTTAATTGTCTTATATCATCCATAATATTCTTCATACTATTATGAATTTTATTGCCATATTCTTCTTGATACTTGAACTGTTTCTGTAATTCCTGAAATCCCACTTTTACAACAGGTATCAATTTCTTTGGGTCAGGATTTTTTTGCTTGCCCAGTTCCCACAATGCTGGATCAATTCCTATAAACAATAAATAATTTATTTTAATTTTTAATTCCACAAATGTAGGAAAAAAATACCCCGTAATATCTTCACTTTTGTCATTATGTCACGATAAGTAGATGGATTGGTCATATCAAAATCATTTACCTCTTTGCGGTGTATCAAGATATTTCTTCATTTGTTGTTCAGTTAAAGTCAACATTGGAATAATCTGTTCAATAAACAAATTCTGAAACAGAAAAAGTAGGCATTTTTGTCTCTGTCTGGCTATCTACCTGCCTGTCTATCAAAAAACGTTCCATTAATAATGTCCCTTTTAAGCTAATTTGATTATTTAAGCCAACCTGATATCAATTCCCATTAAATAGATTGGTGCAAGCTATAATAAGGCTTACTTAGGCTTACCTTAAAAATTGGATTGTATGATGCTCTTAACATATGACTAAAGGTGTCAGTGGTAGATGCACGTTGAATCTCTCCTAGAAGGTATATTATAATATAGAGCAGTTTGCATAATACCATACTTGAAATCATTTTTTATGATAATTATTATTAGGGAAAACATTATAAAATCTTTAAATTCTTTTACCATTAGGAAAAACTTGCTGAATGTAAAATCTGAAGTTCGTTTTGTTTGGTACTTCAGCAGCAAAAATTTCATTAACAACAACTTCATTACCTCCGAATAATAGACTCAATGCTGAAATAACTTCCTGTTTGTAGGCCCTGGAAGAATAAAAAAAAATAAAAAAAAACATTTTTTAATGTTCCCGGATCCTAGTCATATTTAACACTGAAAAATTATTAGAATATTATACAAGTATATGATTATTAATTACTTACTCCACTTCTGAAAGGCCCCTTCCAATTATAATTTGCACAATACCATCTTCATTACGATAATTGGGAATTTTTGTATAGCAAACTACTTTGAAACGACAATATGGATTTTCAGATGTGAACTCTACAGGTGACATATTGGACGAATAATAACCTGGAATAAAATTCATAAAATTATACTTTATTTTAATTATATACATTTTACAATATTATAAACAACTAGTCAAATCTACTAAGTTTTCCATAATGGTTTACTCACTAATTCATTGAAAAAAAATAAAATCCACATATTTACCTTTACCAAACCCCCAAAAAGCTTGAAGTTGATTCCACTTTCGCAAGACCTCATCATTTTCATTATTGAAGTAGGAAGGAGCACAGATTGCAATATGTAATGCCATTGATGATGAGCCCGGTTGTTGGTGAAGCATCTGAAACTGATGATTGCCCCTATTTGATTCGACCAGTGAAATAAAAACAATGTTCATCGAATCCTCACACATTATGGTGAAACCATTTAACACACCATCTCACCAAATGACCTACAACAGATCACAATTGCCTTATGTTTGTAAATATATATTAATTTAACTAATCAGTGGTATGAAGAAAACATTCAATAAAACATATCACTAACTAGTACAAATCAATAAATATCCAGCGACAGGCCTCCGTTGCAGAAAAGACAACGAAGTTCGTTTGTCAAATATTATGGAAAAAACAAAACAAAAAAAAACACTTCAATCAATATCATAATGCGCTTCTGTTGATAGGTCGAATTAAAAATTTTAACAATAATATATATCCAGCAGACAACATTGAGTTAACAACCACACTTCTTTTTGGCAAGACGAAACTTTATAGTTGATCTGGTGGTTTTCAGTCTATGACAAGCAGGCAACCCACAATCATCATTAACACATGTGTATGCAAGAGGGTTGAATATAAGATTAACACCGAACAATGTGGATGTCTAGAAACTACTACATGATGACGAACCCGGCGAAACATTAGACAAATCGGGGTACAAGTTTTTTTTTTGACATGATGCACTGTGGGCAAATTCATACAGCAACACATTGGTTCCATCGTGGTTAGCAAACCATTCTAATATTTGTAATAAACTTTGAGTATTAATTTCACAATAACGTTGTTTTTTTTATATAGTCTCAGGCGTTATATTAACCAACTTTCTCAAAGCCACATTTTCATCATTGGAATGGATATGGTTTTCTATTTTAACAATAATAGACTTGCTAGTTGAAGTAGTATCTTTTTTCTCTTTTATCTTCTTCTCTTCGGCTCCCTCACTGATATCGCTAATATCATCCTAGAAAGATTAGATTTCATCACAAATGCACCTGAGACATTATTTATTTATTTATTATAATATAGTGTCCAAAGCTTCATCATGCTTATCATAAAATAACTTTTAGGTACTTACACCACAAGATTCCTTGGATAGCTCCATTACACAGTAGCCCGTATTACTACTGAACAGGATTCTGGCAAACTGGTTGACTGGACTGGATACGGAGGCTCTTATATATTGTATCACCGGCATATTGCATGGAACTTAATGTAATGATTCATTTCTCTCTTTGAATTATATTCATTGGTGAATATAAAATAGAAAAGTTGATTCAATGGCGATAACCAAACTTGGTGTTTACATCGGACGATAGTAGCACTGCTTGGTAATCATGTGATATGTTGATATTTTATAAAGAAGATTATGGTTTTGTTATTATGTCCATAATTACATACCTCATATTTTGTAGTCTTGTAATTAGTGGAAAGAGAGAATGTAAGGTATTTAATTCATTATTCATCAAGTCAAAATATAAATATGATAAGTAAAATAGTAAAAGATAATAGATATATATTTTTATTTTTATATTAAATTATTTATATTCTATATAAAAAAACATGTTCTATTCCATCCATCAACTAATTAACTAAAAGTCTGAATCTAATGTAAAAACACTGTATTGATCTGAATTCATTACACCATATTTTTGATATTCACTTACTTTTTTTTCAAAAAAATTAGTTTTCCCTTCTAATGAGATATTTTCCATAAAGTCAAATGGATTTTCTACATTATAAAGTTTCTTAAAACCGAGTTCAAAGAGAAGTCGGTCAGCCACAAATTCTATATACTTCCCCATTAGATTACAGTTCATACCAATTAGTTTGATTGGCAAGGCATCTGTTAAAAATTCTTGTTCAATCTTCACAGCATTATCAATGATAGAATATACATATTTCTGATCAGGCTTATTAATCAAGTACTTAAATATCAAGCAAGCAAAATCTGTGTGTAACCCTTCATCTCTAGAAATCAGTTCATTACTGAAGGTTAGACCTGGCATTAAACCACGTTTTTTTAACCAAAATATTGCAGCAAATGAACCACTAAAGAAAATACCCTCTACTGCAGCAAAGGCAACAATGCGTTCGGCATATGTTGCCGTTCTATTGGTAATCCACCTTAGAGCCCAATCAGCTTTTTTCTTAACAGCTGGCAGCGTTTCAATAGCATTAAATAATCTGTTCTGCTCCTGTAAATCTTTTATGTATGTATTAATAAGTAAACTGTACATTTCATTGTGAATATTTTCCATGGCAATCTGAAAACCATAAAAACACCTCACTTCTGGTATTTGTACCTCTTGGCAGAAACGTTTAACAAGATTTTCATTGACGATACCACCTGATGCGGCAAAAAATGCTAGAACATGTGAAATGAAGTGACGTTCCTCTTCATTAAGTTTCTGTTCCCAATCTACAATATCCTTTGACAAGTCTACTTCTTCAACTGTCCAAAATGATGCTAGCACCTTCTTATACATTTTAAAGATATCATGATTTTTAATTGGGAACAATGTAAAACGTCCTGGATTTTTAATCAAAAAGGGTTCAATCATCTGAAAAAAATATATAAATAAATAAATAAAATATTTATTTTAACATTATGTTCACTATCATAGCATAATAAACGAATGAAATTATTGAATTTTGAGTAAAAAAGAGATTAATTTACTACGTACATGTTCTTCCATCCTATATTTTATGTAAACTAAAATAGGTACACATACATATATATATATATATACATACATACATATACATACACACACACATATATATTCTTTTCTTTGACACGCTTCCCAATGAGCAGTATCCATTATAACACCAGGCAGTAATACTTCCTATGTTTTGAAGGCATGCCAATTGAACCTGATTGTGACTCACTGCTGCGTTTGTTGCTATTTACTTCAGTAACAGTATATTCACTCTCTGGGAGAACTTCAGAAGGGTATATAGGGGGTATTTCATTGTTCCAAGTATCAAGTAGATTTGCTCTCAATTTTTCTGAATTGATACTCCCTATATCTTCTGTTAAAATATTTAAAGATTTTAAATGAGGTTTAATACTAATGTCTGCAAATTCATATGAAAGGTACTTATTTACCAATACATAATTTCGTTCCCAGTCATTCATACTTAAAATAATCTTAACATCTTCAAAATGTTTTAAATTAAAGTTTTCCACTTTATTTATTGAGGGCCAAGTAATTGAAGCACATTTTATAATAATTATTTCACTGTTTTGAAGATCAATTAATACGTCGGCAAATGTTTTTCTTACATTTATCGATGAAACATTATCTAATATAAGTAAAAATTAATTTTCCACTAAATGATACAAGTTGATTAAAGTTTTGTAAAAACTCCACTTTTATTTTTAAATTATTTCTCCATATGACAATTTTATCCCACACTTGAATGATATTTTTTGGTATCATTAATGTACATTAATGTACATAATAAAACTGAATGTAGCCTCCAAAAAATATCATTGAGTCAATGTCGCTATGTAGAGCGACACACACAGGACACTGTCTCAGACCACACCCTTGTCGAGTCCACTTCCTCCACACCTATCGCACTGTAATAATCCATTCCGTGTCCAATCATAGTAAGAGTCACTCACCACTGATAATTGTACTTTTGACCAGAAGAGGGCGCCTTCTTTTCCCATACTTGTGGGTGACGGCTCATAGATAGCAGCGCTGCCATCGCTTCTCCATTCTCTGTGGAGGCGTCGGGTCCATAACACAATTACAATGAGAGCCATATTTATAAATCGTGAAATAGAAATACTCACTCATTGTTAACAAAATTTATTTAGGGTTGGGGTTTGAATAGGGTAGTATCATCATATCTTTGTCTCAAATTTCCCAAATAATAGGTAATTGGGATTAACATAGTAGTATATCAAAAGGCCCTTCTTACAATAATGTCAGTCCAAAAATTAAAACTCTTTATTGAGGATTAAGTTATTATATCTTAGCCAATAGCCAAGGCTACCTACCATGCTACCTACCACCAAAGTACAGCTCACCACTCATATATTTTCCTTCAATTTTGGAATGATTGGAATTACCAATTTAAAATTTCAAGTCATATATACGATATATATGGGAATTTAGGGGATATTACAAAAAAAAACATACCAATTTAAAAACACCATGTAAAATAATTATAACATTTAAAATTGTGAAAACAATTGTTAATATAATGAAAAATTTCTTAACAAATAATGATATCGTTTTCTTCGTGTGTGTAATACCTATATAAATGGTCCCATTTGTAACATATTTACTGTTATTTATATTTAAACTATTATCAAGGATTGTAATGTTATATTTTTCATATAACCAACACATTATGACATTCAAATTATCTTGTAAATTATTACACACCTGAGTTTCGTTATTGATACCTCCTACTATTATAGACAAGTGATTCCAACATAGTAGTATATTTTTATAATCCCACAATACAGAAAATTTCATATATTTAACAGGAGTCCTAATCATATATGCATCTTTAATAAAAGATAAATTTTGTACATTTTCATTATAACTTTGTACATTTTCATTATTATAATAACGGCATTCTATTAAAATTGACGCTAAGTTAGTTATGTTTATTTGGTTTGGAAGTATAATAGATGAATTTCGTCCTATTAGTATATATACCTGTATAGTGTCTTTAAAGTTTAACTGGAACTCGAACCATTCTTGTTGTGATAGTAAATCATATATATTGAAAAGTTCTTCATGTTTATATTTAATTTGCTCATCACCTCTATCAAACCAGTATTTAATTGAATCTTTCAATACTATAACTTCATTGCAATCATACTCTTGATTCATTGGAATTACTGGAATAATTATTAATAATAATAATAATATTAATATTAATAATAATAATAAAAGGGTTGGAATCATTTTCAAGCCACAAAATAAACTAAAAATAATATAACATTAAAGCTTGTTTTTATATTTTAATCTTTCAACATTTAGTAAAAAATATATGGTTATGGATGTCATTATTAACAATCAAGGAAATCAGCAACCAAAAGCAGATCTAGAGCAATATTATTTTCAATTGGAAATTCAGGATCAGTAGTAATCTCATTTTTCTTGAATTGAGTATTGTAGGTGAAATATGTACACACTTTTTGAAGAAGATATGATCTGAAGAAATAAAATAAAAAAATAAAAGTATTATAATTATTTATTTATTATATACAGTTTATATGTTTCTCTAAATATAACAGTTTATATAATAATACTTTGTTCTAACAGCTTTATACTTATGGAACTGTTTTAAAATGGATTTCATTTTTTTCATTTTCAATACACGTTGTTGAACTTGACATCATAGCTTGAATTAAATTTGAGGTGAAGGCATCTTTCCTTTTAATGATGAATTCATGATCATCACAAGATATTAACTTGATGTATGTGGAATTAGGACCTTCACATCCACCATAGAAAATCTGGTAATAATGTGTTAGTGTTTTTTATCTTCAAAAAACATTCAATCCTATTTTACATCATCTCATCATAATAAAACTCAATATGTATATTGTGGAGGTTTCTCTACATTTAAGTTATCATTTTTCATAGCTAACCAAATTTCTTCGGAATGGGGTTTACTTGGATGAAAAAATTCATTTACAAAAAATTTAAGAAATATTTGAGCATCCTCAGTAACCCACATATTACAACAATTGTTTGCATAAACATAATATATGTGAACATATACCAAACAATTATTATACTTAATTCTTGCTGTTAAGGTGGAATACCAACCATAATAAATGAAATAATTATATATCCGGTCCATATGGTCATATTTAATAAAATCTTGAAATCCGGATTCGGATAATTCTTCTTTAGTGAATGTACATTTTTCTAAGCATTCAACTTTACATTTAGTTTCAAGAAATATCCTATCTAGCTCACTTTTCAATTCTTTAAATTTTTTGAAATTAGAGTCATATTTAAATGGAGCTTCAAATTTATTTCTAAAAAACTTGATTTTTTCATATTCCTCTTCATTTACCTTTTTATCTTCATCTTCTTCTTCAATTACCTTTATATCTTCATCTTCAATTACCTTTATATCTTCGACTTCCTCTTCAGTTACCTTTTTATCTTCATCTTCTCCCCTTTCTTCATCTCCCTTTTCATCTTCAACTCCTTCTTCATTTACTTTCCTCTCTTCATCATTTCCCAATTTCTCAATGCCAACTGCTTCCCCATTACCAATATCCATTTGGTTCATTTTTACCAACCTGAAAAATATATATATTATAATTGAAATAGTCTGGTGTATTGAAATAGACTAAGATGATCATCAATCTATTCAAGGAGAAACAGAAACAATCTCAATCAAAAATTGAAAGTTATCTACTACTTAAAAAAAAAGAAAAAAAAAGAAAAAAAAACACTGAAATACTCACGCCTTATTTACGCCTTAGTAAGTGTTAATATACTACACCACAATGGTTGTAAGTATAACTTTTAGAAGTTCACTGTAGTAATATCCAAAGAAAGGCAGGATGAGAATTGAGATACTGCTCGGATCCCACCTCCTTTTATACAACACACACACACACACACACACACACCCACACCAACACAAAGACACACACCCACACCAACACAAAGACACACACACACACACACACAACGACACACACACTTACACACACAAAGACACACACACACACACAAAGACACACACACACACACACACACAAAGACACAAAGACACACACACACACAAAGACACAAAGACACACACAAAGACACACACACACACACAAAGACACACACACACACAAAGACACAAAGACACACACACTTACACACACATAAAGACACACACACACACACACACACAAAGACACACACACACAAAGACACACACACACACACAAAGACACACACACAAAGACACACACAAAGACACACACACATACACATACACACACACACATACAAAGTCACACACATAAAGACACACACACACACACACACACACACACACACACACACACACATACACATATACACACACACACATACAAAGTCACACACATAAAGACACACACACACACACACACACAGCTCCTCCCCTCAGTCACTCTTTGACATCCGGCACCCACAAGCATATATACACACTTGGTTATTTAAATCTAGATAAGGCAACACTATTTTAAATCATATAGACATCTAATGTATAAAAAAAATACATTTGAAATTAACTAGAAAGTTGGAAGTTTATGAAGAATGGTATATAAACCAGCAAAAGATTAAACATGAATACACCCAACAGGAATAATTTTTTGTGACATATTAACACGGAATCATGTGACGAAGGGAATTACTTTCGTATTTTTAGTGATATTGATGACCAATGATAATATTGTTTAAGAACCCGAAATCCCCATCTCTTAACTGACATCATTCAAACCGGGAAAAAAGGATGAAATTGTAACGTTTATCAATCAAGATGAAGGTTTATTACCAAAAGCAGCAGCAACACCACCACCACCACCACCACCACCCCTACTTAAAAACATTGGTTCACCATCTTAGTATAATGTTTCTTTCTATAATAAAAATCCAGCCCCTCTTTTTTTATATATATATATAAAATGTATAAAAAAAAATCCCAAAATCAATCCTTAAAATGGATTCTGACCTATCACACCTACCATCACCATCACTACCACAATCACCACCGACACCGACTCCGCCACAATCACCACTGCAACCGACACCGCAACAATCACCACTGCAACCGACACCGCAACAATCACCACTGCAACCGACACCGCAACAATCACCACTGCAACCGACACCGCAACAATCACCACTGCAACCGGCACCGCAACAATCGCCACTGCCACCATTCAAAGAAGATAATACTGAAAATTTAATGATTGTGGAGGATCAAACAAACATATTTATTAATAATCAAAATGATGAAGAAGAAAAACGAAAATATGTTCAATTTATACAAGAAAAAGTTTCAAATTATAAAAACAACTTTCATAATTCCAATTCACCTTTCAAATTAGCTTTTATGATCATTAATAATATGGTTATCCCGTATTATAATTCTTCAAAATGTCCAAATAAAATTTCAGATGCAATTTACAAACAACTTATTTTAATGCCGAATGAGCAAATTTTTCATGATGCATTGATTAACTATTATAAAGAAAATCCTATTCATCTATCACCAAATTGGAAAATTGACACCACAAATTTAAATAATTTACTGTTGTATTATTTGTATCACATGTTAATACAATCTGGTTATGATATTGAATATAGCAATTCACATTTATTCTCCATATAATTAAATTGACAAATAAGTATTTTAATAATAAGTAGTATAGAAATGATATATTTTTTTTTTTAAATACCTTTATTCTTATTGTAAATATTATTTAAAAAAAGTATCACTACAGAGAGTATATCAATTCGAGTTGGATATATGTGGTACCTAGTAGCCAGAACGGACTTCTCAGCCTACTATGTAAGGCCTAATTTGCCTAATAAGCCAAGTTTTCACGAATTTATATGTTTTCTCTAATTTTTTTCTTATGAAATGATAAAGCTACCCATTTCATTATGTATGAGTTAAAAAAAATTATTGGAGTTAAAATTAACGTAGATATATGACCGAACCTAACCAACCCTACATAACCTAACCTAACATAGGTTAGGTTAGGTTAATATAATATATGTTAAGTAACGGCCTATTGAATGAATCTCAATCATCAACTCCCCACTGTATGATATTTGACTCACGCCGTTTACCCGCGCTTCTTTGAATTTCTTCACTTTGACATTCCGAGCACTGGGCAGAAATCACATTACATCAACATCTATCTCTGACCATCGCATTGCTTTGCTTTGTTTTAATTAGACAGTCGGATTCCCCTGGTCCATGCCACTTTTGAGTTGATTACTATATATGATGGTCAATGTTGGAAACTAGTTCAACAAACAATTTAGTTATCATCGATCCTATATCCAATATTTGCATTATGAATTTCAATTGTGATGATGCTGGGTACCCATCCATCTTCAGTAGAACCCATCCAGAACCATTTTGGGTTTATGAGGTATGTTTTTCATATCTTTTTTTTTGGGGGGGGGGACACTAGTACTAGTTTCATTTAGTCTTTTTCATTCCCAACCAACTTTCAGTTCAGTCAAACTTCTCGTATCTTAAAACAAAAACAAAAATAAATTAATAATGAACCTTGATATTTAGCACGTGTATTTTAACTAATATAAATAAATTTGAAGAAATAATGTACTATTAACTCATCACCTCTATTTTTCTCTTAATTTCAATTGCATCATCTTTATTAATGAAGGTGTATTATTATTCATATATATTGGTGGTTCTATACCAAAAACTGCCTTGTAAGGCGATACGCCAATTCCACGTGAATATGCTGTGTTTTTGGTGAATTGCACAAAGGGAAGTCCAGCTGACCAATCTCGCGTTTGATTTTCACACATCCAACTGCCAAGCATTTTGATTACATTTTCTTTTGTACATTCAATGCTCCCTTGGCTCTGTGGATGACGAGGTTTGCTATTAATGAGGAGCATGTTGGGCCACATTTCGTTTTTTAGCTCTTGAATGACCTCTGCCACAAATTCACGGCCGTTATCGCTCTGCAGAATTCGTGGGGCTCCCAAGAGAGCAAATATATCGAGTAAGTGGCGTGCCACTTCAATCGCCCGTTTACTGCGAAGAGCTCGTAAAACCGAAAACTTTGTTAAATGATCCTGATAATGTAAAATATATTTATACACACATCCTCCTTCTTTTTGCATATTTATTAAGTCCATTTGTCCTCGCTCCGCAAAACAGGTCGATACAATGGGCCGTATTACCCCCTTTTTTCGTCGAGGAAGTCGTTTCAAATTGCATATGTGGCAGAGTGAAATAAAGAGTTTCACCGATTGTTGAGTGACGTTAGCGATAGTTTTACTTGCTTCAAAATAAGTTCTTTTTTCTCCTCCGTGACAAACTGCTCTGTGTGCATCATAAATCGTATCATACAATTGCCCTTGATGTATGAAACGACGACACATCCGGCCAGGATCAGCTGTTGTTGTTCCTGTTGTTGTTGTTGTTGTTACAGCCTTAGTAGAATGACGATTGTCACTGGTCAGTTTACGCTTGGTCCCCCGCTTCATTCTTCGTTCAGTTTCGTCGATGGTTACTAAGACGTCATCCCCAAATAGATTTTTGACATCATATCGAGACAATAGATCATATTCATGAGAAGATTTCCAATTCAGTTTCAATTAGCATTTTTGACTTCCTCAATGTATTGTGCTAATTTTTCTCGAGTAAAAATTTTCCGACTCCCAGGCCCACCTTTTTCCAACATTTGGCTAATTTTTAATTCAAATTCATGTTTGCTGCAAAATTCTTCGTTTTTCTTTTGCTTTGATATCATCCTATCACTATTTTAATTTTATTTCAATATGTTTATTATATAACCACCAAGTTTTTTTTTTTTTACAAATCGCCTAGAACACTAGTGATGATAATGGAATTTGAATTGAAAAGAAGAGTTTGAAGCCTTTACTGTAAACCTGAAGAATCTCGAAATATAAATAAAAAAAAATATATATATATAATGCCATGCCTAGTAAATATATAATATGGTCAGACGGATTTAATAAATTTACCATTCATTAATTACATACCAAAATGAGTGGACAACATAGCATGAAAACATTAGAAGGTTTAAATTTCAAAATAAATTTAAACATTTTAAAACGAAATGGGTTTTATTATAACAAACAAGAAAATCTATGGAAATGTATAAAGTGTCATTTGTCACTTACATTCAATATAAATTGTAATGCAATTGTATATCCAGAACATAATTGTACATTTATTTCACAAATTAAAACACCTATCAGAATGTTTAACAACATTTTTTTTTGAAGTTTGAAAGTGCACGTCTAGACACATTTAACAATTGGAAATTCCCATGGATTTCCCCTCTAAATTTAGCTAGGGATGGATTTTTTTATCTTAAAAGAAACGATGCATGTGCATGTATTTTCTGCAATACAGTTATCAAGAACTGGCAAATAAACGATATTCCACATAATAAACATAGACAAAGAGTTCCTTATTGTCCATTTATCATGGGAAAACCCGTTGGTAATGTCCCTTTAGAGTTATGTGAAGTTATTCTGCAATCCAATTTAGTCCTCTCATTGTCA